CAACCAACAATGTTTTTTCTAGCGTCTAGAATGATTTTATAACAGGTAATCCTGCCTGCTCCTTGAAAATTTTATTAAAGTCGCCTAGAAAACCATCTAGGCTTGAACTCTTTCATTTTGAGGGTGGAGGATGTTTTTAATCTACTTATTCAGTTCCTTTTGTTATCCTTGTTTGTTTCACATTTTCCAGAGGGCACATGGTTTGCCAGTGAGTGACAGAAAGACAGAGAGGAAGAGGAAAAAATACCCCCCCCCATACCAAATTGGGCATGGTGACACCATAACTCCTTCTTCTCCATTTCTGTACTCAGTCAAGATTTTGAGCATGCACATGCATGTGCCTGACATGGGTCTTGGGACTCAAATCACAGTCAGCCATGTGAGATCCAGTGTCCTCAGCCGTTAGGCCACAGGGCCAGCCCATAATTCACTGACTTCAGTGATTACCAGATTATTCAGATACTGTGTTTTTTTCCCTTGACCAAGTATTATAACTTACACAGTTCTATAAAATAGTCCAGTTTACGATAAACCTGTTCATTTTCAAGATTATCTGTATAAAAACATGAATCTTTTGGAGAGATAGGAATATTTTGCATCTTATTTATAGAGGCGGATTCACAGATGTGTACATCTATCGAAACTTACTATATCGTATATTGTAGATGGATGGGATTTATTATAAAGATGGGATGTATTATAAAGGACGTTAACAATTATTTGCAGAAAATTATTCGTAGTGTTTTTGTCATCTAAAAAGTTCTCGATTGTATCTTTAGCTATGTCTCTTTGTCCTTAATATTGCTTATTTGAGCAATCTCTCTTTTCGTGGACCTTATTAAAAGACTTGTCCAGTTCATAGTTTCTGAACTAATTACCCTCTAAGAAGAACCCTGAACATCCATGTTTCCTTCATCTCTCTGCTGCAAGGACCTCGCGGTATCCCTGCTACTGCTGCCTTCTTTCCGTGTGGATAAATGAGAGCTTATGTAAGGATGGGTGACCTGAGGAGGTTGCCGCACTTGGGGCAGAGGCCAGAAATAAAGGGAAGAATGTTCTCACTTCCAGGTGCACCCTGCATCTAGCAGACCAGGCCTAGAAGCTATTAGAGCAGATTGGTGTGTCTTTGAGAACGCCCCTCACAATACTTGAAAATAATAGACTGAAAAAAAAATTAGCATCAGCTAAGCAGTTGATGTATTTTACTCCCTTGGTGTTCCTGTGCTTGTTTTACCAAGTAAATTTTGTTACTTAACTCAATTTATATATTTTTGTTCAAAACAAAGCAAAACAGAACTACTCCTCTGGATTTGAGGGAAATAATTACCCTTAATTGCCACATGTAAAAACTTGATTGCTTTGTATTTTTCTTCCAGTCATCAAATGTGTTCTCGAAGAAAAATATCATAACATGGGAAATGGACTATTTAATAGTGCAATGCTTACATCTTAATACCAAAGATGATCTGAGGAAGTAATGTTCCTGCTAACAGTATAATCAGAGATGCCATTGTTGGTTGTCTCGGGGCTTATTCACATAATCAGGTGCTGTGCAACAGATGTACCGAAAGCGTTATTGAGCATCATTCCCTGTGCATTTTACAGAATTGTGCGTTTTTGAAAACTTGAAGGGAAAACGTGGTGGCAACACTTGGTTACTTACAAAGACTTACTAAGCAACAGTTATTTATCTTCAATTTGAAGTAGATCTTTTGGAATTGAAAAAAAGAGGGGTGTGTGTAAACTCGACCAATCTGTTATCTTGCTTTAAAAAAATAAACAAAACTTTTCATTTCTTAGGGCCAACAGGTGGTGTGGTGATTAAGGCATTGGACCCACATGGCTGACCACGGTTCAAGTCCTGGACCTGGCAGCCTGCTTTCTCACTCTCTCTCTCTGTCTCTCTCTCTCTGTCTCTCTCTGGTTAATTAAAAAATAATAATAATTATAATAGGGACCAGCAGCTGACATAATGGTTATGTCACTGGACTCGCACAAAGTCAACCGTGGTTCGAGTCTTGGACCCAGTGGCTTAAAACTCATGCCGGGCATGTGTGCGTGTGTGCCCAAGATCCCGGGAAGAGAATGGAGGAGAAGGGACTATGGCATGGCCATCCCCCCGGGAGGTGATTTCTCACTGTCTCTCTGTTTCTCCAGTGATTGTATGTGCCCTAGAGCAAAAATCTCTCAAATAATAATAAATAAAATAAAATAAATAATTCTTTGAAAAGTGATTTCTTTTACAAGAGTGATAGAAAGAGAGAAGGAGAGAGAGAGAGACAAACACTTTCAACAGGGTCTCATAGCACGGTCTGTACACATCCACCCCACCCCCCACTCCCCCCTGCTTCCCAGCCAGCCCAGTCCTTAACTGTGTGCCTGCTGTATACAGGCAGCCTGGGGGACTGAACTCGATTTTGCGTATGGCTCTAGAATCACTTGTGCAGCTCATTGCCATTTCAATACCAGGCCGACCCCTTGTGCTGTTTTTATTGCTATGCATTTGTGGTGTCTTTGGGTTTTGTTTTTAACCTTGAGGAAATGTTGGAAACCCAAAACTTGAAAACCAGTTTGTAGTTTTTTTAGGACTGCCATGACAAAATACCACTGACCGGGTGGCAGAAAAACAATTATTTTCTGATCATTCTAGGAACTGAGAGTCTAAGATCAAGGTGCCAGAAGGCTGTTTCTTTAGAGGCCTCTCTCCTTGCAGATAGCCCCTTCTCCCTCTACTTTCATTTGGTGTATTAGACAGGGTTCTCCAGAGAAACAGAGCAAATGGGATGTGTGTGTGTGTGTGTGTGTGTGTGTGTGTGTGTGTGTATGCATAGAGTGTGTATATAACTACACACACACATGTCTACACACACGTACACAACCATATGGATGGCTGGCCCTCCAAATACATGGGCCCTGCACCAAGGATTCATCTAATTGTAGATCAGAAATGTTACATTGTTGCTGACACGTGTTGTGTGGTTAGGCCTAAAGTGCTCACATCTGTACTGTGCATGTAGACTTTTGTATTTTTTTTCTTGTCATTATTCCCTAAACAGTGTAACAACTATTTCCATAGCATTAACAATGTGTTAGGTATTGTAAGTAATCTAGAGGTGATTTTAAGTAGAGAGGAGGAAGTGGGTAGATAGTATGTAAGTATTGGGTCATCGAGAAAATCCTGATGCATTTTTGCATAGGAAAACAGAAAACTACGGCCTGACTTTCCTGATGACCCAATACTATGCCATATTATACAAAGGACTGGCGCTTTCAAGGGTTTCGGTATCCAGTAGGAGTTCTGGAACCATCTTTGGATACCAAGGGATCAGTGTCTATGCATACCTGCGTGCATATATCTATGCACGTGTGTGCGCACACGTGTGTGTAGAGACTTTAAGGAATTGGCTAACGTGATCGCGGAGGCTCTCAAAATCCAAAATCTGCAGGAGAGAGACCCAAGGGAGAGTTGTGGTCCGTGTTCGGAGGTAGTCTTCTGGCATCCTTCCTTTTTACTCTGCGGAGGTTGAGTGTCTTTTTCTAGAGGGAGACTTTCTGCTATAGGGTGTGTGTGCTCACCAGAGAGACAGAGAGACAGAAAGCAAGAAATCACCTCCCACGGGGTTAGCCACACTGCAGTCCCTTTTCCTCCATCCTCTGGGGATTTCGGGCACGTGTGGACAAGTGCCTGAGGTGAGTTTAAGCCACCGGGCCTGGGACTTGGACCGCAGTTGACCATGTAGGAGTCCAATGACATAACCATTCCGCCATCTGGTGGTCCCCAAATGTCTTCTTTTAAGGCTTCCAGCTGATTGACAGAGGCCTACCCACATTGTGAGAATAATCCGCTTTGCTCAAGTTTCTCCCATTTAAATGTTACATGTGGTCTTCTGTTTGTATCTATTTGTGCACAAACTTCCCTTTCTAATAATAACACGAGTTATATTGGATGAGATTCTCCCTGATTGCCTTGTCTAAACTTAAGACTCTATCTCCAAATACAGCCACATTCAGAAATATTGGGCATTAGGACTTCAGCATATGAATTTGAGGTAACACAATTCAGCCCATACAGCCAAAAGTAAGCATAAACAGGAGCCAGCAGGTGGCAGGGAGGTCAAGGCAGCTGGATCCCACATGGCCAACTTCACGGTTCAAGTTCTGGACCTGGCAGCTTGAAAATCATGCTAGGCATGTGTATTTGAGTACACAGACTCTCAAGAGGAGAATGGAGGAGGAATTGTGGTATGGTCATTCCCTCTGGGGGGGCTGATTTCCCTCTCTCTGTCTCTGTCTCTCTCTGGCAAGCACGCATGCCCTATAGCAAAAAACAAAACAAGACAAATCAAAAAAAGTGTAAGCCTAAATGGAAAAGATATTCACATTACTACAACCTGCAAGTGAATTTTATTTTTATTTGCAAAGATACTTACATTCTTCTAGTAATTCAAGATTAGGTTAAAATATTTTTATTATGGATGTATCTAGATTTCCACTGCTTTCATTTTATGTTTTTAGATTTCAAATTAGAGAGCCATGCGCAAGATTTTATCTTGAGTTATGGATCAATTTGAAATAACCATTAAAACAGAGTTCCCACTTTTTCTGTCAATATGAGAAATAAAAAATGGGAAAAATCACTAATAAAAACGAAGGGACAAGCTGGCCTCTGTGGATGTGTCTCTTCCTGGTTACCAGCCAGGCCAGGGCAGGAGGACCCGGACTGGGGCCAAGGCAACATAGAAGAGCAGCTTTGAAAACAAACAAAACAAAACATGCAAAACAAAAAGGAGGGGGAGGGATTACCAGAATATAAAGTAAAGGAGAATTAGAAACCAAGTCTCCAATGGGGCTCTCAAATCATAAATGCAATCTTGTAACATTATCTCTGGCTTTATATTCCTGTCTTACTGGTTTACATGTATCTCTCAAAGGAGTTAAGCAAAGGATAAAATGTCTCCTTATCTCGATACAAAGAAAAGCTTCTGATTCTCTTTCTGCAGATAACAAAGAGATTTTCCTTTCCAAAGCCATTCACAAGTCCTTCATAGAGGTTAATGAAGAAGGCTCGGAAGCTGCTGCTGCATCAGGTACTCAGTTGTTTTATCTCTCTCTCTCTCTCTCTCTCTCTTAAGAATTATCTATTTAATTTTATTTATTATTATTTAATGTGGTAGAAGGCACTAAATTGCTTTCTAAAAGCTTTTCTAGATTTGTATGTTTAAAGTTATCTTGGGGAAGGGTGGAGGTCATTTTCAGAATCAAGCCAATAACCTGATTCTGCTCTAACTTAAAAGTAAAACAAATGCTGACCCAGCCCGACTCTCCTGAAGACGACGTGCCGGGTGTACTCGCTCTAGTGCCTCTTCGCCGAGCGACTCCCATCTTCATTTTCTCTCTAATGAGAGGCGGGAGCATATTGGCAGCTCAGTGAGACTAGATTTCCCGGCTGTGCTGCCTGTCGAGATATTTTAAATATTCCCCACTGCCCATTTCAACCTTTTTCTTTCTCCCTAATTACTTGCAGGAGTTGGTTCTTAATTTAACCAGCGAAAAGTTTCGGATTTTTTAAAAGCACATACATGAAACAATATATGATACATGGGATCACTTTAAATACTTTTATCTAAATAACACTAATAAATAGTAATCATTTCAAATAAGTCATTTAAAATCTGGATCTATATCACCTATCCAAAGTAAAATGGTCACTGTCCTTCATGGTTTCGATGATGGCTATGACCTCCTTTGCTAACTAAGAGTGGAGTGTTTGCTGCCTTTTCTCCTTCTGTTCACTAGTTTTGAGTTGTTTTAAGCTCACATTCAGAAGCTATCGTCAAATTTGGGGAGGCTACCCCCCCATAAAATGTTAACCTTTCACATTTCCACTCATTATTTCTAACTTCTGCTTATATTTGTCCACTAAAAGGACATCACCATTCATAGTACTCTTTAGGGGAGGAAAATGGAAACTCTAAGGTCTCTGGCATCAAAAAAGCTTACACATGTGCATAATCGAATATTGACTTTCTTCCTGACAGCTAACTAGTTAGTATACTGCAGCTAGTACACATCATCCTGTAGTAAGGATCTCAGGCAAGTCCAGAATCCCAGCTGCTACCAACACCATCATATCTCTGCCTTCTGTTCTGTCCTCTAATCTCTGCTGTCCTCATCTGTACCAGCAGCCTAATGACTGGCTGTATAAAAATACCCATTTCAGACAAAAGAGATGACTTAAAAATACAAAGACACTGTCTTATGTTGGGGCAATTTTTTTTTCCTTCTTTCTCTCCCCTTCACTCAAGGATCATTCCAGTAAAAGCAAAAGTATTTATCTGAGGCTGAGAATAAAATTTTTATATCAGACCGAATACATTGTCCTATTATTTTTGGTGAGGTGGAGGGAGAAAATTATGTGTGGTGAATGTTTGCTTTGGTTGGCTTTTTTTTTTTAAAAAGATCAAGTAGAAATAGGAACACCTTCACAATTTTTATCTCTTTAAGTCTTCAAAATCTTGTTGCCTGTAAATTGTTGCTATTGCATTAAATAGATAGACAGATGGTTTTGAGAAATTACTCATTAGTGTCTGCACATCCACAGACATGTAATTACTTTCTCTCTGCACTGTAGGAATGATTGCAATTAGTAGGATGGCTGTGCTGTATCCTCAAGTTATTGTCGACCATCCATTTTTCTTTCTTATCAGGAACAGGAGAACTGGTGAGTCTAAGAACAAAACTATTTAATAGGCACAAAGAAACTTTTTAAATTGAGAATTGTTTTTACACAGTATTTACCAGATTATATCTAGTGTTCAGATTATTTTTAAATAAGAATAATGCATGTTTTCATTTTTAGAACACTGCTTCTTGTAAACAAGAAGGAAAATAAATCTCTTTTTTTTAAAGTGATGTTTGCCTTAGGGTGTGTGCTCTCACTGGAGAAAGAGAGAAAAACAGAGACAGAGAGAGAGAAAGTGAGACATCACCCCCCAGGGGTATGGACATGCTGCAGTCTCTTCTCCTCCATTCTCCTGCTGGGATCTTGGCCATGTACACACACACACACATGCCTGGCATGAGTTTCAAATCACCAGGTCTGGGACTCAAACCACCGTCAGCCATGTGGGAGTCCATTGACATAACTCCTGCACCATCTGCTGGCCCTGAAATATCCCATTCTTTTGTTCACCTCCTCTTTTGTTCATTTCCAAACAATGCAGGTACAATCCTCTTCATGGGACGAGTCATGCATCCTGAAACAATGAACACAAGTGGACATGATTTTGAGGAACTTTAAACTTAACTTCATCTGAATAATAAGGAAAACAGTAACCAAGCACATTATGTTTGCAACTGGTATATATTTAGAGTTTGTGTTTTAGAGTATATCTTAAGATAATATTTAAAATAGCTCCAGATAAAAACAATGTATGTGCACTAGAAGTCAATTTGTCAAGGAATGTTATTGATATTAAGATAATGGTCCTGTTATGTCGATGTGTTTGTTGTGCTGTTGTTTAAAATAAAAGTACATATCGAACATGTAAAGAGCTCTGTTTTTCATTTTAGAGGTTGTAGTATAAAAATAACCCTTGGGGGACCAGCAGATGGCATAATGGTTATGTCACTGGACTCCCATGTAGTGGACCAGGGTTTGAGCCCCAGAACCGGTGGCTTGGACTCATGCCAGGCGCGTGTGCTTGCGTGCCCAGGATCCCAAGAAGAGAATGGGGGAGAGGGGATTGCAGCATGGCCATCCTCCTTGGGGGTTGATTTCTCTCTTTCTGTCTCTCTGTCTCTTTCTGTCTTTCTGGAGAGCACAAGCATCTTATAGCAAAAAACTCTCTAAATAAATAAACAAATAACTCCTGGTATTTTGAAACAGTGATCTTTCTGGGCATCTTAAGCTTTTAATAATCATGCAGAATCCCAGCACCAAAGTCAATCCGCGATATGCACTTACACATAACAAGCAAATCAAGTGAGGTGAGCACAGGCTCTCCTGAAAAACTGTCATTGTCATTTCTTTAAAATCAGCGTATAATGTAGTAAAACGGATGCCAGCGGAACATGCCGTCTGGTTTCACACCCTAACTTATTACGAGGAAGAAATAACTAAGGCTACACGAACCCCTGTAAAAGGTTGTGCGCATGTGCATACTTTATGTTTCCAAGTCATTAAACCTCCACCTAGCATCCTATGCCGTTTCCATGTCTGGTGTATCACTGTGTTTTGCTGTTGCAAGTAAACTTCAGGCTCTCAGTTCCCAAGATGAACCATATGAGCACGGTAATAATAAAGCATTCGCTCCAGTATGTTCACTCGAGAATGAACCGGAAAGGCCTGCTAGTTCATGCACTAGAAATCAGCGAGTCCCAGAGGTGGTCTCGTGGACTCTGCATGGAGTTTTGAACATTTTGAACTTGAAGTCTGTAACTGGGGGAGGAGGGGGATGTCACTTTCCTTGTTTCTTTTCTTGATTACCTGTGTGGCTTCTAAATACACTAGAAACCCCTAGAGAGTTACCATTAGCATTTGCAGAACACAGTGGTCTCACTTTCTATTACGAACCATAGTTATTCCGATGGGGGCAGTGTCCGCTTCACGGCCTCTAGTAACATACTTTGTAATCGAGAAACCGTTGGCGTACCACCTTCTTATATATTACATATTATTGCTATGATTTGGAGCTGCTGATAAGAATTGATATTATCGTTCACTTTCATTTAGTTCAGAAGAGGTTGGGAAAAGGCCTGGCCCTAGATCTACGAAGTTCTAAATTCTGAGAAAAAGTTCAATATCTGCACTAGTTTTATTCTTACAAGCTCTTTTGATGATTCTGTTACACACTAAATCTTGAGTAGTACTAAAAGGTACATATAGTTAGGGTTAGTTTATAGAAAATTAGCTCTAGGAAGTATATTACATCAGTGCTCGTCAAACTTTAATGTGTAATAGAATAACCTGGGATCCTATTAAAAATGCAGATTCTTGGTGCCAGGCCATGGCCCAGTGGCACCACAACAGGACCCACACAAGAAATGTCATAGGTTCTAGTCCTGGGACCTCTGAGCATGCTGGGTGCATGTGGCCGTGATCTGGGTCACTTGGGATCCACTTAGGGTGGATCATGGTGTAGACTCGGTCGGCATGCCCATCTCTCTGTCGCTGTCTCTCTTGAGGAAGAAATAAATAAATAAACTTTAAGAATGGAGGTTCTCATTCAGTGGGTCTGGGTGGCACCTAAGATTTTGCATTTCTAACAGACTCTCAAGTATACACTTGCTGTTTGCTCAGAGACTGCTGTTTGTCACATTAGTAGCAGTATTGTATCTACTTGCCATAAGGTTTACTGTATCTGATGCTTTTACAAAAGGAACAGAAAGACTGCACAATTTTCGTAGAGCTTGGGGAGATTTGGGAGTGGGTAGTCAGCATGAAAAATGGAATACATGTGTCCAAAATGGAAAAAAAGAAAAGTTTTACTCTAAAGTTTTTATTTTCCTATTGTATGCTTTGAACAAATGCAAAATTCCTCTGCATGCAAGAACACTTGAAATATGCCCTTTATAAATATGGAGACATTTATATGCAATCCCCATGGAAGAATTTATGAATACCCAAAAACACAATACTTAACACTGAATCTTTTACGGCTTGTATTTTCAGAAGACTTACAGTTTATTCATAAACCTTAGGTTATTGTAGAGCAGTGTTCTTGTTCTCTTTTCCAATGCATGCAGTTTGGGCAAACGGGGGATTCTGTGTTGATGTTTGGAGTTTGTGAACGTCTTCGTTACACTATTACTGCTTAAGCATTACACATGTGGCTATTTTTGTATCTCCACCAGTCACCTATAAGGAAGAAAAAACACCATTAGACAATCATGGAGGCTTAATAAAGCCCCAAATGCAATTTTTATTAGCTGATATAAAATCGAATTCTCCCATTCAGAATATCTACTTTAAAATAGTGTAATACAATTTAGCTGTCCTTTAAATGAAAATAGGTCCTGTCTTATTAGTAGCATGCCTCTGGAATGCTTCAAAATAGAACACTTGATAGTACAGAGTATTTCTTGTTGTTTGACTGTGCTTATAACTTCTCTAATATTTTCCTTTCTCTTGAAAAATTAACATCTACGGTTTATTTCCATTTTCCTCAAAATGGAATTACTGCACACACACACACACACACACACACACACACACACACCAGGCACAGTTTACCCAAATAGTGTGCTCTTTGAAACCATTTTTTTGGGGTGGAAATCAGCAATAATTATACAGCTTTTGCTTTATTTTAAGTCATGGTTTCATTGTTTTATCTATGCAATAGGCTGGTCTGGATAATTATAGAGTATAGACCTATACGTTTTCACATCACCAACATAACCAAATAATTATTAAAATCAGTCTTAAATAAAAAGGTTTATTTGAATATTAAATAAAGTTGAACTTTATAATAACAATAAAATAAAGAGAACATATAAATAACATTTTCTTTTTTTTAGAGAGAGAGAGAGATTTTTGCTATAAGGCACAGGTGCTCCCAGAGAGACAGAGAGACAGGAAGCAAGAAATCACCCCCAGGGTGCAATCCCCTCTCCTCTGTTCTCCTCCGGGAAGTTTGGGTGTTCCCGCATGCACTGCGCGTGCACACACACACACACACACACTCGGCATGACTTTCAAGCCATTGGGTCTGAAACTCAAACCACAGTCAACCATGTGGGAATTCAGTGCTTTAACCACTATGCCACTTGCTGGTCCCAACATTTTATTTTCATTCATGTGTATTCTATATATAATTTAATGTTTTTATATATAGTCAGCTTCTTTTATTTATGATAGTTACTTTCATTATCTGAAAAAGTTTTTTTAAAAAATCAGAATGGCTGGGAATTTCATAGAGGCAACTCAAAATGCACCTTCATGAAGTATGCTTCTTTGCTCAGTCTTGAGAACATCAGATGAAAACTATCGGTAATGCAAATAAATAAATAAATCAGAAAAGACTGCCCAAAAATCTATAACCTTGTCATACCCTAAGAGCCTCACGACAGTACTGTTCATTACAGAGGGGATCAGTTTAAAAAGCATGCCTTAGAGCACAAGATGCTTTATTAACATCATTGTAAGACTGGCCCCAATGTAGCTGTTTCCTTTAAGCTAAATATCAACTGCTCATTAACACTTTAATGTATTTTAATAAATGAGTGGACTGAACCAAAAACCAATCTTTTTTTTCCACGTGAAAATTTCTGAGTTTTTTAATCCTCTCATGACAAATCCACTCAATCACCGCAGACAGCCATTACAGAATCTTGACTGCTTGGACTTTCTACCAGCACCAACGTGGGCCTCTGCAGTCCCCCGATTTCCTTCATTCCGTTCTTGCATTCCTTTTGCTGTTTTCTTGATGTCTTTTTCTTCCTATAGAGGCCCTGTCTTTTAAGTCTATGTTTGGGTTCATTTTTCTTTGCATAATCTGAAGAATCGTAAATCAAGCCAAAGCCGGTTGTCTTACCACCACCAAAATGGATGCCGAATCGGAACACAAAGATGCCATCTGGGGTGGTCTTGTACATCTTCGCTAGTTTTTCGCAAATGTCTGTCTTAGGCACTGTTGCCTTCCCGGGATGAAGGACATCAATGATCATTTGTTTCCTCTGAAACAAATACATTTCCTGGTCATGAATTTCCTGGTTCGGATAGTTACTGTGTCATTCATGATAACGGTACATCCTCGAGCAGCCTGGGTGGAGGAGCCAAAACACATCTTAAGTCTGATTAAAGTGCATCATTAAAAAAAAAAAGTCTCAGACTCATAGAAGCAAAATCTAAAACATTCAGGCCACCTGGTTAAGACGGCTGGATCCCACCCACATAGCTAACAGTGTGATTCGAGTTCTGAACCCAGCAGCTTGGAAAACACTGGCACATCTGAGTGTGTGCCCAAAATTCCAAAAGGAGCATGGAAGATAAGGGATTGAGGTTGTCAGCCATCCCCTTGGGGTGTGCCTTCCCACTTTCCCCCTCTCTCCCTCTCTCTGCCCCTCTCCAGTGGACACACACACCCTGTAGCAAATTTTAGAAGAACAAAGTTCTGATTCAGTTCTTGTTCCTCAGAAAATGGTGGCACCATTGGAGCCAGATGGCATCAGGATAGGGACGTGGAGGCAGAGAAAGGAGTATGGTAGTGTGGGAGATGGAAAAGCAGCACCCCCAGGTTTTCACCACGGTCAGTGTATTGGGAAGCAACATCCAGCCCACCTCTAAACCCTGCGTAATTCTAAATGACTTAGTTATTTTTCTGCCTGAAACTTAATCAGAAAACCACTCCAATACATTGTTTCAGGGTGTGTCTGTGTGTGTGTGTGTGTGTGTGTGTGTGTGTGTGTGCAGGTATACGTGGGCCTGCATTTTTTCATTCTTTTTAAGTATTTATTTTAATCACTGCCTGCACTGAATATTTTTTTGAGAATTGGTAACAATATTAAATCTTTCAACTCATGAAATGATATCTATTTACTTGAAACTTCAT